GGCGGGACAGGTAGAACAAGGCGGGTCACACGCGCGACCCTTTTAGCCAATCCGCTGCAAGGAAACCACTGACAGAAGCCGCGGATCAGCCAATGAGATCACGCACAGCTTTGAACGTTGACAAACACAAACGGATAAACGTTGACAGGAGGTTGACCAATCGTGACTCTGGATTTCAATAACGGACACTCGTTTGAGCCAATCAGCATGAAGAACCGTCTCGGCGCTGTATGCGATACACCAATGAAATAAATGAATTTTGCATCAAAAAAAAAAAGCTGCCTTCACAGGCCACTAAGCAAACGACATTTATGCGGATGTCAAGCGACTGATTTGACATCACGACATAAAAAGTTTGTGCCTGATATTTTTTTCTTTTGATGTCGAACAAGGCGCATATTTCACTCAAAAATGTCATTAACTCACCCTCTTGTCGTTCCATAAGAGGTTTTAGGCTTAATGACTGCCTTGGTCACCTGTAAACCATTATACTAAATATGCAACGAGAGTAATTGGCCACTTTTTGTGTTTCACGGAAGAAAGTTAAGTGTGTGAAATGTGAAGTGACGTGTGGGAAGTATGGTGACCCATACTCAGAATTTGTGCTCTGCGTTTAACCCATCCAAGTGCACTCACACAGTAGTGAACACACACACACACACACTTTTTTTCTGAAAGTAATTTCAGTGAGAATAAAAGTTACGCCTTCTTTCTTTGCGTGAACATTTGGGCGGCGTTATGCAAATCTTCCCACATCATGACGTAGATATGTGGGGGTGTGTTAGAACGAGCCGTTTTAGGTAGGCGTGGCTGACTCTTAACTTTTATAAAGAATATCTCTTTCGATTTGAGACTTTAGTCTTTGCAACTTTACAGATCTTCTTTATGCACCAAGAGCTTGTAACACTTCAAAGAGAAAGGAAAAATTGAAATCGCATCATATGACCCATTTAAAAAAAAAGGCATTCCAGCTACAATCTTTCCAAAAGTCACCGAAAACAAATAATTAAATATATAGGCTATATATAGCTAAATAAATACATAAAATGCAAATAAAATGGTTTTCATGGATAATTACATTCTCAAACACCTGCAGGCACTATTCTTTCAAACCAGTTGGGTGAAGACAGGGTGTTTTATTCATGTAGATATTTAAGTGCATACCTAATGCTTTAAAGTGTTTGGAGATAAAAAAAATAAATCCTATGATAAATCAAAATATAATTTTTTAATATAGTATAGGAAGTTTACTGCTACATTACCGTACTGCTGGATGGTGATCTGAAATTCACAAAGTGAATTCTTTGCCTTGATCAGTTTCTCTCATATTCTCCTGTATCCCCCCTAAAACATGATCCCATTTTAGGCTCAACTACTGCCAGGTTATGTTTGCTTGAAAACACAATTTTTCAAAAACCACATGCAGTATAGATCATAGTTTTTTCAAGGGTTTTTTTTTTTTTTGCAGACCGGCATGCAGAAATAGCTGTGGATCAGCTCATGAGACATCAAAGGCACAGTGGTAAAAATATCAGTTCCAGAACATCTTCTTTTACAGTGTAGCAAGACATAAAGTTTTAACAGTAAAAACACTTAACACACACATTTGCATATGAATTATATTTGTAACTTCACTTTGCTTTTTTTAAGCGTTAAATTCAGCATTAAGTTTGAAGGTCCCGTTTAAAAAAAACAAGGTTTTTAAAAGCAACCTTCATTTGTCAGTGCATTGCTCTGACTTTAAAGCATTTTCAAGTTATCCATTAATGTGACATTGCAGTTGTAGTGTTTAACAGTAACCACTAAACTAAAAGTTAAACATTTGGTTTATTTAAACATGACTCTATCCACAGTGCAGGAATCAGTCTCTGCAAACAATATCGAGCATTAAGCATGTGTCAATATCACTGCATTGAAAAATCAATAGATGCATTTAAGCCAATTGATTTTTGTCTTCCTGTATGTTCTGCTTAGCATCTGGGAAAAGGGAAGCCTCGTTTTCCTTGCACATGTGGCTTTGGTTATATTGTACACCCAACAGATGTTAGTAAGTTTCCTTTGTGGAAGGAAAAATTAGTTGTGCTCCGTAGTATTTGAATATGGTCCTTATTATGTCCTTTTCATCAGTGGTAAATTAATTAGATGCTCAGCATGTTAAAACAAATCACATTTGCCAAAGGCGTTTTTCAAAGGTGTCAAACGTTTGTCAAGTAAGTCTTGTTCTGTTCTGGAACAGCCTCATTGTACCTCTTCTGACACCCACAGTTTCCATGATGCCAGTGCACAGCAACCGCCTGACTAAAAAGACTAGAATATGATTAATCTTTAATTATATCACTCATCTACAAATATATGCTAACTGTTGAAAATATAGAGTAATATATAATAAAAAAAAAAAAAGTGAGTTGCTGTTGAGACAAGGTTACTTATTTTATTTATTTATCAGAGACACACTAATATTGTTTTCAATACAGCTTAAAGGTTACCACTAAACTAAAAAATCGTATGCAGCTTTGCTTCTAATTTACCTTGGTTTTGGGATGTTTACATATTTTTACTGGAAGGAAAATATAAATACAGTTTAAGAACACTATATTTTTGTGGTGTGCTCATGGTGTTCTTGTTTAGGTGGTCTTCTTGGTGCCATTATTTGATTTTAAAAGTAGCTGTGTTCCTAGAGAATGGCACCAGGAACATTTCAGTAATTCCAGAAGATCCCTTCCTATTTAAATGCCAAGGCAATTACCCGCTGCTGTCTGACATTAACATTCGAACAATTGTTTCTTTCTCTTTTATTTTCTTCTGTGGTTTCTTTGTCTCAGCAGGAGAATGAATGCAGAAAGTTTAAGCAGAAAACCTGTGTATGAGGAGGTTAGTAGTGATCAGATGGTTCCTCCGTGAGGCGACTGACTTACTGGTGACTCATTTCAGTTGTTTGGGATGGAGGCAGATAATGAGGCTGAGTGTGTATCTGTTCGACAGAAGAAAAAGCAGCTGTGAAAGACTGCTATTCTCGTGTGTGTTCATTTATTAGGCTGTTCCATTTATTGTGAATGATCCAGCTAAGATCACAAGGCTTCAGGCCTTTATTTCTCTGAAGACAGCTGCAGCTATCGGCAGAAGAATGAAGAATCTACTGATGCCGGCATCTCAGAATAAGTGTTCGCTTTGATTAATCATTCATTCGCTTGTTTATTAGTGGTACGTTCATAAGTATTCAAATTCAGTGCACTGTTTGTGCTACAGACATGAATGGCATCTCAAATCATGCATGTTGTTCAAGACCAATGTTTCTACAGGTGCATCTCAATAAATTAGAATGTCGTGGAAAAGTTCACCAAAGACTTAAACTACTTCAGTCTCTGTGCATTGAATTGATTTAATACACGAGTTTCACAATTTGAGTTGAATTACTGTAGGGGTGCGGGAAGATGTTTTCGTTTGGGGGTGCTGTGTGTGTCCGTGTTGGGGGAATCCCTGAATTACTGAAATAAATGAACTTTTCCACGACATTCTAATTTATTGAGATGCACCTGTATAAGAAATCCTACTTACAAATTGTCAAAAAAAGACATCTGGTTGTGGGCTCTTTTTAATTAATAGGACAGTTTATCATTTACTCACCATTATAGCTTTCCAAACCTTTCTTTCTCCTGCGGAACACAAAAGAAGGTAATTTCCCAAATTTTAGGTCTGGTTGCGGACTCTTTTTAATTTAACCCTCTGGTGCTGTTCAGTCATTTTTGACCAAAAACGTGATATTTCTTAGAAAAAACTTAATATCACTTAGAATTTTTTTTTTACTTCATCAGAATGGTACGAAACTTGGTAAAGGTTTTGGCACTTGCCATGTGCACACGCACACACACACACACACACACACACACACACGAACACACACACACACACACACACACTCACTCA